AAGGTCGCATCGAGATGACAGCCAATCGAAAGAAGCTCATTGCTCAGGACTTGGCTGAGTCCAAGTCTCAGTTTTCCAACCTGAGCGAGTTCTGGACTGCCATGATCGCGAAGCATGGCTTGTCGAAGAAACAGCTCAGCAGGATCGTCAGGCAAAGTGATGCCTATGCAGCAATGAGCCAGAAACCTCTTCTGCAAGGAAGCTCTAAGAACAAGAGGCGAGTCAGGGTTTCAGGTGCTGGCCGGAAGGCGCCTTACCCTGAGGTCCTTGCGACCCTTTCTCAGTGGCTGGCTGTTGAGCGAGCCTGTGGCCACACCATCACCCACCAGGACTTCTTCCAGGAGTTCTTATTTCAGCTCAGGCTCTCCGCCACGAAGTCTCATCTTCGGGCAGAAGATCCGGGCCTCAGCAACCTCAAGAAGGCTGAGTTCCAGCAGGATGCTGAGGACAAAGAGACCAGGGCTCAGAAGCTGAGCAAGAGCAAGGCCTACCGAAGGAGCTTCACTCAGAAGCTCCTCCGATGGACCAAGGCTAAGTTCACCACCTCAGAGGTCGTGAGCAACATTAGCAGCCTTGAGTCCCAGGTCAGGTGCAAGCTCACCTGGCAAGAGTTTGACTGGTGCCTCTGGCTGGCCAGCCTCAGCTCTCTTGCTGAGCTCTCTTCTGAGAAGAGAGTGGCAGACCCTGAGGACTTCCTGAAGCACAGGACTGACTTAGCCATCGGCTTCTCTGATCAGGTGCCTCTGTGGGCTAAGGCAACAGGCCGAAAGGCCGTGTTTGCTCAGGAGGAGCTCCACTCAGCTGAGACCACCAAGGACTTTTCTGAGGTCAGGCAAGCCATTGAGGATGTCATGAAGACTGACTCAGATGCAACCTTTGAAGTGGTTCCCATCAGCGACACAGGTGACAGCACTCCCCGAGTACAGAAAGCCCTCAGCTTCGGCTCAGAAGGGTCAGGCACCGTCCGAAAGGCCCTGAGCTTCAGCAGCCTTAGCCCAGAGAAACCTCAGCTGGCCGAGGACCAAGCAGAGGAGCAGCAGCAGCCGAGGCTCAGGCACAGTCAGAAAGGCCCTGAGCTTCAGCAAGCAAAGAAGAAACAGAAGGCACTGCCTAAGGCCGGAGCTAAGACCACCTTAGGCTTCTCAGCCGACGAAAGATTCAGAATCACCTACGAGGCCCGTCAGGTGCTTCTTCAAGTCGTGGCTGAGCCCAGCAAGCCAGTCATCGGCTTAGTGGGAAAGGGCTTGCTGGTCGTGCCGGGGCAATGGGCCCGCCTGAGCAACATCTCTCAGGATGGCAAGTGGATCCAGACTGAGAGGTTCAGGGTCGGGGCTAAGGAGAAGGTTCACTCAGCTGGTGCTTCAGTCGGCAAGATCTTGCTCAGCTATCGCAAGCTCAGGCAGGCTCACCCTGAGCTTGTCGCTAAGCTGGACATCATGAGCCAGCCAGCTGCGAACGTCGACTCAGTGATCCTGAGCTGGGTCATTGAGGGCCAGGCCACTGAGTACCCTTGCTCAGTCTGGCAGAGGGATTGCTTCAGCTCGGTCTTCTCAGACACGGCTGCTGAGTCGATGGCCTTAGCCCAGCAGATCAGCTGCTTAGTTGCTGCTAAGTGCACCTCTAAGCTCCAGATCACGGACTCAGACTTCGCCAGAGAGTTTAAGGCTGCCGTGAGGCACAAGCTGTCCGCCCTCACAACAGACTTCCAGGAGAAGCAGAAAGACTCAGGCGAGTCTGAGGTCTGGCGAGCAGGTGCCTTTGAGATCGTCACCTCAGTGGTCTGGGCTGAGGAGCAGCTGAGGCAGAAGAACGAAGAGCACTCCTGGGTTGTCAGGGCAGCCGTGAGGAATGGCCTTCTGGCCTACCGGCCGAACCCTGAGAGTGGGAAGCTCGAGCCCGTCACTGAGCAGCCTTGGGCTAAGGAGCTCGAGCTGAGGATGGGCAGTCGTCGCTTCCCAGCTGCCTGGCTCTCAGAGAGGCTGAAGTGGCTGGACGACTCAGGCAAACCCATCCAGGCAGACTGGTCTCTCAGCGACTCAGCTAAGCAGATTTCCGACCTCATCAGGTGGGACTATTTCAACCCTGAGGAGGACCTTGAGCAGGAGGCTGAAGATGGAGGCTTTGACCTAGATGCAGACCTTGCAGAGGATCTGGACCTGAGTCTGCAGAACAGCCTTTCCCTCAGGCTGCACCCAAAGCTCAGACGTGCAGCAGCTCGCAGAGCCCTTGAGGAGGGCTATGCTGAGAGAGTCAAGGACATCAGGAAAAAGGCAGAGCTGAGGAGGGAGAGGCTGAAGCACAGGAAAGCCTTCAGGGGCAAGCTTCTGCAAAGCTTGAGACAAAAGCTGCTGCTGAGCAGTCGGGCAGAAGCACTCAGTGAGGTTGTGCCTGTGAGAACAGAGACCAAAGGCCAGAAACTGAGTGCAACCACCAAGCCCTCAGCGAAGAACAAGCCCTCAGCAAAGAGCAAGGCCAGCAAGTTCCTCAAGTCTTCGGCTAAGAAGAAAGCAGGTAAAAAGCATGAGCACAAGGCCACAGTCGACAAGGTCATTGCTAAGGTCACAGCTAAGAAGAAGAAGGAGAAGAAGGCTCAGGCCAAAGCTGAGACCAAGGCCAAAGCTGAGACCACAGAGACTGAGTCCGCAGCCCTGGCTCCTTTCCTTGAGAAAGAAGTCATTTGTGTCTCTGAGGCTGCCGGCCACATGCTCTTCGGCATTAAGGGCCTTGCCTCAGACTTCCAGTCAGGTCGCTACACTGTCATGACCGTGAGTGGCACCTTCGAGATCAGGTCTGAGCATCTGACCCTTTGGGAGCCCAAGACTGCTGAGTTCGTCTGGGCTCAGCTGAAATACCTCAGCAGGGCAGACACTCAAACAATCCTCCGGGCCATCTCCTGCTGGCCTGAGCCAAAGCTGAGGCACGACGACTATGCCGACCACGGCTTAGTGCCCTTCCCTCACACTGAGGAGCCATTCTTAGTGGAGGATCAGTGGATCTGGCAGGGCTGGGCCATGATGAGCTGGTCCCTGCGAAAAGCCAAGGCAGGCTCCTTTGAGGAGTTCTCGGTGGAGTGCTTGGACCCTGGCCTTCCTCACTTGCTCTTCGAGTTTCCTGAGCACTTGCTTGAGCCACGTGAGAATGCCGTTAAGCAAGCCTTCGGCAATGCCCTCAGGCTTCTGGTTCCAGTGGTTAGGGCTTTGCACTGGACCTTGCTGGTGGCTCAGAGAGAGTCCCTGGACCAGACCGAGGGCTTTCAGTGGCGACTCTACGACAGCCTTCAGCAGCCAATTCAGGCCTGCACCTTGGCTCAGGTCAGGATTGGGAGCTTGCTCGATCCTCAGTTCAGCCTCCCCAAGAAGACGAACTCAGCAGTGCAGCCTCAGGGGTCACTGCTCTGCGGGTTCTATGTCTTAGCCTGGATGGAGCAGGAAGTGAGGCAGGCCCGAGGAGAATGGCTGAGGGTTTGGCCTGGGCTTCTGGCTAAGACTTGGAAGGAGAGGCTTCTCAAGATGAAGCCACATCTTGAGAAGGAGCAGAAGCTGAGGATCGCTGAGATCGACAAGGCCTACAAGAAGACTGAGGCAGAGAGAAAGGAAGCAGAGAAGAGGGTAGCCAAAGCTCAGCACGCCTTAGACACAGCCAAGACTTCGACCAGCAAGGCTGCTGTGGCTGCTAAGGAATCCCTCGACAAGAACGTCTTCAGGTTCACCTGGAAGCATCTCAGCAAAGAAGCCACAGCCAAGATTCTGGCCTTAGAGCACTCGCCAGGGATCTGCCAGAATTGCCGATGGCAGACAGGCTGTCCTCAGTGCCAGGCTGAGAAAGCCCTGAGGTACCACCTCACCACTGAGGCCGCTGCTGAGGGAAAGCTGCCCTTTCAGCCAGGACTGCAACTCTGCCATCAGCCTTTTGCACTTGTGAGCCCTTGCTTGAGACGATTGCCCTGCTGCAGGACCCAAGGAATTCCCTCAGTATCTCAAAGAGATGCTGAAGGCCAACAAGCCTCAGCCAATTCCAGCTGAGAAGGGTAGTGACAAGCCTGAGCCAATTCAGGCTGAGAAGGGTAGTGAGGCTTCCGGTCCCAAAGAAACCTGAGCAAATTCAACCGAGGAATTCGCTCAGTATCTCAAAGAGATACTCAAGGCCAAGAAGCCTCAGCCGATTGAGGCTCAGAAGGGTAGTGAAGCTTGCCGCGCCAAAGAAACCTGAGCAAATCCAGGCTCAGGAACATCACCCCTCTGGGGCCGGCCACGACTGCTGCCTCAGGCAACTCAGGACATCCTGAAGTCCGACAGTTCGGTTTAGGGATAATTAACTCAGTCATCAACTTGCAGCCTGAGGCAGCATGGGCCCTCTTTTTGAAAAGCTTGAGAGACCCAGCTTGAGAAGAAAACTGAGCATTTACAGGATTTGGTTTTCAGGATTGAACGTTTTAACTTAGTTTAAAGGCAAGCCCCAAATCCTAAAAAAAAATTCCGGATTTCGGGGGCGGTTTGTCTTTATAGAGGGACTCCCAAACAGTCAGCATGTCCTGAATAATTCGGCCAGTTTGTCTTTAAACAGGGGGCCAATACTAAACAGGGTGCAACATTAAAACCCCAAACTCAATTCCTGCGTCCAGGTTGCCGAGACCATGGCGAGGAAGCGCGGGCCCAAGTGTTCTCGGCTGGATGCTGCGTGGAGCATAGGGTCGAGGGTTCAGGTTTAGGGGTTAGGGTTAGGGTTTAGGTTTAGGGTTTAGGGTTCAGGGTTTAGGGTTTAGGGTTCGGGGGGGGGGGGGGGGGGGTGGGGTTTTGACGGGCGCAGAGTAGGGGGTCTGGTATTCAGGGTGTTAAAAGGGCTTAGGGGAGTTCAATCCTCCTTAAGCCCTACCTGCACACTTCCCTAAACCCTAAACCCTAAATCCTAAACCCTAAACCCTAGCCCTAAACCCTAAATCCTAACCCTAAACCCTAAACCCTAAACCCTTAAACCCTACACCCTAAATCCCTGAAGCGACGATGCAGGTCATCGATGGCCGCGCTCTTCGACATGCCTTTGAGAGCTTGGACGACGACGGCTCGGAGCAGGTGCCGGCCTTCGGAAGGGTTTTAGGGTTGAGGGTTTCGGGGGGTTTGGGGTTTAGGGTTTAGGGTTTAGGGTCTAGGGTCTAGGGTCTAGGGTTTAGGGTTTAGGGTTTAGGGGGTAGGGGTTTGAGGGTTGAGGGTTTAGGGTTGAGGGTTTGGGGTTTGGGGTTTGGGGTTTGGGGTTTAGGGTTTGGAAGAGGGTGTATATAGGGCTTACAGGGTTGATAGTAGGTTCATTGTTCAAGGTTTATGGTTTCCGGTTTACTAGGGTTGAGGGCCCCGGATAAAAATAAAAGGGAGGCTCTAAATTCCAAGCGCCGAAGGTGTCGGGGCAGGAAGTTTGTCCAGCGTCCCAAATAGTGCTTTGGAATATCTGAGAATATGGATCAAACGG